TTATGTTGCTATTTAATACGCATAGATACTGTCCCATTTAAGACAGAGTCGAAGAGCATATTTCTCTTGCGACCGCATTAGTATGACTGCACAATTTCTTTATTTGATACACCTTATTCTTCATAGCCAAAAGCTTCAAAGTGCTAACTCTGCATATAAATTATAATAATATATTTACTAAATAAATCGATTCGTTTTACATCGAGTTGGATCTATCTTCAAGGGTCATTACATCACAGCAAGAGTAGAAAACAGTCAGCAATACTTAACATACTGTGTAATTATCTTCAGGTGTAAATTCGATCAACAAACCGTTGATGCGTAATGTGCTTCAAGGTGATGGATTCAGATGTAATTCATTCTTGGCCTTTGCTACCAAATCCTTTGTTGATTCCTGATTGATAACAAGTTCTGCCGTTGCCTGTGCTGAGACATTCGGATATCTGTTCACAGCTATTAATTTGGTCACATCTGAGACCCTATATTAAAATCGTATTCGAATTACGAAACTTGGTTATCGTGACCGTCTCTGGCGTTGTATATTTGGCGGTAAGCTAAAATTGATAATTTGTATCAATTTACCGATTCAGAAATTTCATTGTGCTGGAAGCAAAATCCGCGGGTAATTTTGATTGCTTTTATGTGAAGCTGCAATAAACCTATTAATTGAACCAGTTCTACTTTTAATTAGTTTAAATAAATAGTTCCTACTGTTATAGAGTTTGTGCGAAAGACGGTTCCCTGCAGTTTTATAGAAAGTTCTTTACGCAGCATGTTCGCCATAACTTGCACAGTCACTTTTCACCGCTTATCTCGTCTGGCGGAATGGCATGCATCGGTCGGTAAGCCGTAGGATGCCTATCTTTTTACCATGGATCGCTTTATTTAGTTTGTCCAAGCGAAGATGGCAACGTTTATTTATTCGATTTCAACTCAGACGGTCGTAAATACATGTTGAAGGTTTCGCACGAATCCGGCCCGGTCATCGACTGCTGTCTTAACCACGACGAAAGCTGTGTGCTGTTTGGAGACGCGGCGGTAAGAATCTAGTCAGATTCTTTAGTTTGCTGTACGAACAGGGTAAAGGAGGCATCAGTTTAAAAAAATTACCTTTAATCTAATCTAATAATGTCCCTGAAAACTGAAAGAACTACGTTTCTTGTAAACTAATAAGCATAGTTTCACTAAATTGGACTTCACATCATGGGGACACCGTTCCCTTGTTCTCAGTAGTCTAGGAGACCACCCTATCTCATGGCAGCTCCAAAGCATTGTAGCATACCACCTTCCGTACATAAATGGTTCTGACATCATTTTACTGGCTGTGAGCAGTGCCTTGAATACTGTTGGCGGTATTTAGCCTCTACTTTTGTATGCTTTCACAGAAACGGGTATGTGAACTGCTGAGAATATAGTAATGAGGACGTATTGTATAGTCTCATTTATGCTTCAGTTAATTAAGTTCACCCTAAAAAATGCGTTAAATCTATATTCTTGAAATAACGCGTAGCAACTACATAAAAACAGTTTATGTGTAAAACGGAAAACTATATGTGAAGATACGTTATCAGAAATATACTACGTACATCTTCCTCTCAGGACTGTGAATGGGAGGACCAATCTTTGAAGGCTAACGGCTTTTCAAACAGAAAATCGAGATTTATATCTAACCGTACAAAATGGTAAATGGTACTTCAGATTTAAATGAGGCGACTTTCGCTACTGCGGCAAAAGTTGGATTCTTGTTTGTATGCAGTAGTTCTGTCTCAAGAGATGTGTTCACGTTTTGCATTGTCTTCCAACGCATCTGTAACCAGCTCGAGGTTCCCAATCGAGAAAAGCTTTGTAAATATTTCATTTTTCACTTTGGGCCGTTTTATGAATTAAAGCTAGCGTCGGTTTCTAAGTCAGGTGATAGGTTGCTGATCATTCGTCAGCACATGCTCATTTTTTGACCCGATGGTACCCTGTAGCATGGGATGTACTCCGCACCGGTACCACCATGGTGCCACCATTTGAGTATTTATTAATCAATTATAATCAATATATCTCCATTCAAATTTAAGCGAATCTAGCTGTTACGCTATCATAAATTATATTTACTTACAGGTTATGCTGCACTCGGAACAAACCGTTTCTTAATCTTTCTGTAACCTACCGTATACCCAAAATGATCGTCAGGGAACCGGTGATACTTCTAGGAGAGCAGATTACACAAGGATTTGAACATAGATCTCGTCATCATTTAAGAGACAAACTGTGACGAGCAGTGTGGCCCAGAATGCTAATGCCAGATCTGATTGAAATATTTTTTACATGTATTTAAATCGTTGTTCGTTTTACGTTTGCGTTCAAAGTCACACGTAGGCGCCTTTGAACTACTTCCGCATTTCATGTTATTCTACTAACACACCGGTGGCACACTTGTTGAAACGCATTGTTAAAACCAATAACTCTTCGAGAGAAGCATAGTGTCAAAAAAATAAACAGACGAATTAGTAATTTACACTCCATCATTTTAGAGTTAGATTGAGATAAAATAAAATTGAGAATGTATTATCATGTAATTCATTTCTGCTGATATGGACTGAAATTAATTTGCTTTTCAGCCCAGAATGATACCATAATTTTTATCGCGTTACTGCGTAAACTTGAACTGAGACAATGCTGACGCTTAGATTATAGGGGTAGAGTTAGTAAAATAACCCGCAGTAATGCCAACTTAGACTGATCCAGCGACACTAGTGGCTTTTAGTCTGCTTGTGTTAACGGTTGTTTATGTTTTACCTCCACTTGGAACTGGATCGAGCGTGATCTAATAGGTTCAACTGCGAAAGGTGTAATCGTGTAGAATTAAATGCATTATAGATTATCTCGATGTATAAGATTATACTAATGATTTTGAAAATTTAATATCAAAATATATTTCGCTTCTAATAAACTGTCATATGTTTAACCTCATTTATTTATTTTTTAAATTTAATGTATTTAGGCTACCCAGTTAACTATCAAGGATACTGTTGCTAAAGCAATAGTTTATTTAGAGAGCGGATAAAGTCCAAAAAATTGCTTTATACAGAAGAAAGATTAGAGCTAAATAACGTCATTCATCTGAAGGAAATACTTTTTA